TCAGATTTCGCCGCACACGAGGGAAAAATTAAGAAAATAAATAAGAAATGGAAAATTCCTTTCTCCCCTCCTCCTCCCCCCCCTGCTTCCCTCCTGTCCCTCCACTGACCTACTTCCTCCTCCTGCTCCTGCCAAAGCAACAGGCAACCACTTGCCCTTATCTGCCTCCGCCAGGATGTGATGTTGGACCGTACATCTCTCCCAGCCCCAGATTTGAGCATCCCTCCATATCTGCCCTCACTCCCTACGAGGCTTTCACCTCCCTCCTTGTGAAAGCCTCTGCAGAGTAGAGCTCTCCAACTAATCTTACCCACAATATCCACTGAAATTTCCTCGGCGTGCAAAGAGGGGAGACATAAATTCATGCTAGGAAAAGGAGAACGAAGAAAAGTTATCAGACCTGAAAATTAGGGAATTATCCCCTGCTGTTGATGATGATGACCATGGTAAATTAGGAAAACTGAGAATGGGGAATAAGGAATGAGCATAAAGATAGATTGAAGGTTTACGTCATTACCTTTGAAGACCTGATAAAAAATGTATCTTGGAGAATGGTGAAGAAACACCCTGGAGAAGTTGATGAGGATGATGATGGCGAATAGCCACCCTAGGGAAGATGAAAATATGATTACAATAGCACCTTGATAGTAATGGCGAGAAGCGCCTGGAGATTCATTGATAAAACAGCGCCTTGTTGATGACGAGTGCTCTGATAATGATGAGGCGCCAACGCCCTAACAACAATATCGGCACAATGTCGTGATGACGAAAATGCAGCTTGATGAAGAAGGCACTGATGCAGGGCAGAACAACACCCTAACGACGACCAGCACCCTGTTGATGAAAATTAAAAAAGATGAATTATAGTAATAATAATCGGACCAACTCATTAAAAGAACCTAGAAAGGTGATCGAGCAAATCCCCCTTCCTTTCCCTTTTCCTCCCAGACATTCTTAGTCACCCCCCCTCTCCCACTATTCCTTCTCCTTTTCTTCCTCCATTCCCCCCTCTTCTCCATACCCTGCCCCCTCCTACACTCTTAACGTCTCCACTTCCCTCGCTGTCACCCCACTTATCTCCTCTTTTTCCCCCACCCTGAGAAACTGAGGAAAGTCGGGCAGACTGCAAGTAGCGCTGAGACCAAAAGTGACGAGAGAAAATAGACAGAGAGTGGTGAGAGAAAGATATTTAGATGAGAAAGAGGAGATGGAAGCGGAGGGAAATAAGGAGGAGAGAACAAAGCCGGGGAAGATGACGATTACACCTAGCGCCCAACACCCAAGAGAAGAAGATAATAAATTAAATGAGAAGCAAAACTAAGATGTTAAGAAAAAAGTGTAGAATGTCCACGACACAGTTGATGATGACTAACAGCTCCCTCCAATGCTGATGAGGATGATCGCAACCTACAAGAAACAAGACAGACAAGAAGACAATACAATGCCCGGATAGACAGTAGCGCCGTTGATGAAGACCTCCAAGCGCTCCCTAAAGACAAGCAACACCCCTCCTGATCAGTTCTATGATGACGATGATTCCGGTGGACAGCGCCCTGATGATGCAAACGAAAGGCTCCCTGATGGTCTTCCTACTCACACCCGTTCTTTAATATCCGCACTTCGGTAAACCAAGGGCTAACTCCACTGTACTCCACAGGTGTTGACGAAGCCAACACCTCCAAGGCCAAATGCCACGTGCGAAAACGCAGCTGCGGCAATGGAGTGTGAACGTGTGATGCGCAACCTCACGCCCTGTCGCGGCTTTTCGCACTGGGTCGCCGATCAGAGTAGAAGGGGGGGTGGCCGAGGATTTTTGGCCATGGGGGTCGAGTCTCCCGGTAGGAATGGGAGTCTCTCGTTTCGGGGCCGATAGGTTTCCCCCGACTGGGGCTTGATCCTTGGTCAGGATTACCAGAAACAAGAGGGGGAGGAGGACGGGGTGAACGGACGGGCCCTACCCAGTTTCTCTAGATGGGGAAAAAGGAGGGACGGGGGACCTA